GGCGAGTTCTGCGGGCTACAGCTTGGGCCATGCCGCTCCTCGCGCCCCTGGCTGCGGTCGCCCGCGCGTGCCCTGGGAGGCTGTAGATACAGCCAACCCGCACAGGAAGGATGATCGACTTCCCGAGGGCACCCTTTGCCTCCTTGCCGCTTCGGTCATCCTCGGTCCAGCCTCAGCAACTTTCGATGGCCAGCCCCACTCGAGGAGCCTCGGCGTGGGCGTCCAAGACCTTTGCGTCCTTATCGTGCGTCCTGACTCCACGGGTTGACTTCAGAGGCGCCCCTGGCGCCCTTCGAGGACTCGACTCGCTTGAGCTCCTCGCGGGATCCTTGGGGTGCCCTTGTTCGGCGGCGAGCACAGGGGGGAAGTGAGAAGAGGCGGGCCTTCTCAGAAGGCTCGGAAGTCCCCTGACCTTCTGAGAAGTTTCTTGAGCCTTCCCCGAAGATGCAGAAAAAAACCGTTCAGAAGGCGCGAGGGCTCCTGAGGAGTCCCGCCGCCTTCGGAGAAGGCCTTCTCCCTCTCACTTCCCCCGCCCGCACGCCGCCGATGTATGGGAGGGCCGCGGTGATGGCCCGTTGCCGGTGTGGGTTCGCTGGTCGTCCTCCGGGCGGGCCGGCGTTCCTCGGAGCGCGAGGAGGAGGAGGAGGAGGAGGAGGAGGAGGAGGAGGAGGAGGAGGAGGAGGAGGAGGAGGAGGAGGTCACCGCGTTCGACAGCCTTCGCGCTGGGTCCACGTGCTGGGCTGGGTTTCTCCGGGGCCGCCGCGTGGCGGCCCGTCGTGGAGGCCCTCGGGGGGGGGGGGGGCTGCTGGGAGGCCCTCGTCGCCACCGCTGGATATGCGCCGCGAGATGATGATCCTGGTCAGATCGCGCCCAGGGAGAGGTCGGTTCCTTCTGGCTCCCCCATCGAGGGCCAGTCCTCCTCCCCCTCCAGCCTTCAAGCGATGGCTGCGGCTGGGTCGCCTACCGCCCGGCAGCCGTGCTAGAGAGAGGCCGTGCCCGCGGACTCACAATACGTCTGGAAAGGAACCAACCGGCAAGCCAACCTTCTCCCGCCCCTCCTTCCTCGCCGTCATCCTCTGCCTTCTCCTCCCTCTCCCCCTCCCACTTCCTCCCCCCTCCTCCATTCCCCATCCCCTCACTTCCCCTTTTCCCGCCTCCCTCCTCCTCCTCCTCCTCCTCCTCCTCCTCCTCCTCCTCCTCCTCTTCCTCTTCCTCCTCCTCCGCCTCCTGTCAGTTGCGCCAGCGGTCGGTTTCGCTCGGTCGGTTTGCGGGCGGTCAGTTTCGCCCACAGTGGGTTTCGCCAGGGTCGTTTTCGATGGGGTCGGCTTCACTGGGGTCGAATTCGCCGGCGGTCGGGTTCTTCAGCTGTCGGTCTTGCCCGTTTGGTTTCGCCGACGGTCGGCGTCGCCGACGGTGTTCGCACAGTCGCTTGTCGTCGTCGCCGTCATCGTCGCCATTGCCCGTCGTCTCTCCCGCCGCCAGCGTCGCCAGCGTTCTCGTCGATCGGCGACGCTGTCGCTGTCGTCGCCGTTGCCAGTATTGCCTGTGCAGTCGTAGCCGTCCCGTTGGCTGCCGCCGCGAACCAGTGGGGCGCGCGGACATTCACCGGCGGGTCGTGGAGGCGGGGCAAGCGGGCGGGTGGGTGCGGGCTAGCATTGCGCCGGACATGTCCCCTATACAGGAGGCAGACGCACACATAGCCAAACACAGATGCAGGGGATGCTTCTCCGGCTATTTATCTGCTTCACTATGCTTGAATCTTTGTTCGGGACTTGTCATGCTTCTTCCAGGTTCCGCCCGTGGGAGGACGTGCCCGACCTAAGGCTAGCGAGCAACTATGCGGGCCCTGGCAGGCGCGTCGGGCGGGCGGGCGGGCCCTCACCGGCGGGCCGTGCGGGCGACCCCGCCTGGGCGGGTCGAGCGGGCGGGCACCGGCGGCACCGACGAGCGCCTGCGAAGCCGAGCGGGTGACACCGACCGGGTGGAACCGATCGCGGCGGACCCGACCGGGCAAATTTTTGCTGGCCTCAGGTCGGGCTTGTCCCTCGACAGGAGGAGTATCCAACAGTAGCTTACAAGGAATGCGGGGACGAGTTTGGGATTCATTTTTCTGTAATTGTTTCGAGACGTTTAGGGTATTCTTCATTTGTCTTACAAGATCCGCCTGTAGGAGGACATGCCCGACCGAATACTGGCCCCAGCCTCCCCCGCTGGCGAAACCGAAGGGGCCCATTCCCCTCCTGTCTCCTCATCCTGATTTCCTCCTCGTCCTCCCGTCTCCCCTTCCTCCCGCCTCCTCCCTCCGTTCTCCCTTCTCTCTCGCTCTTTCTCTTTGCCTCCTGCATCCCTTCCGCCGCCCGCCTCCCCCCTCGCCCTGAGCAGGTCGAGTGGCTCTCCAACGAGCTCAAGACTGGCCGCCCGCTGCTGAAGCGCGGCTCCTTCGAGAAGCTGGCAGAATTGGGTCTCGCCAAGGACCTCCGACGGTGAGGGCACGATCGATCGACGGCGATGGTGACGATGACGACGACCTGGGCGGCCCAAAATGCCAACCCACGACGCACGATGACTACGACTGCGACGATAAGGCAGAAGGGAGGGGGCCATTAACTGCAACGCAATTCCTAACCCTAATAACACAATGAACTCGTCGCCTTATTTAGGCAATCGGTTTGTAGGGCTATCCGTCAACGTGTGGGTGGTTTCGTCCGAGACATCTGCAACAAAACGCCCCATCCTTGACGTGCTTGGCCCTCCACTCTTGCGTTCCCTCCCAACGGCTCAAGGGGAGAAGGAGAGGGGAGAGTATGACGAGGGGACGGGAATAGAGGGGGAGGAGGAGAGAGGGAGCGGATGGGGGAGAAGGAGAGAGAGGAGGGATGGCGATATTGAAGAGGTAGTGGCCACAGGCGCATGATAGGGCTCGAACTATACGGTGTTCTGGCGATCTCGTGGACCGTTTCCGTGTTTGTGTTCTTTCGTTGCGCAGCGAAGGCGGAGAGAAGACAGAACGAGGAAACTCCGACAACGACACGACAACGCTACACATTGTTTAGGAACGCGCCCCGACGCGTGAGGAGGAGGGAAACGAGGAGGGGTGTGGAGGCAGGAGGAGGACAGCTCGAGAGCACGACGGCCAGGGGCAGCGCTGGGGCGGGATTGGCACCCGGGGGGGGGGGGGGACGCATCGACCCCCCCCCCAAAACCGCCCAGGGACCGGCAGGCGCCCGCAGAGCCCCACCCCGCCCGGGAAGGCTGGGATGTGCTGTGGGGGGGGCGATCTCGCCGATCGGTAGACGACGTATCGCCGATTGCAGGTCGACGATTCCCCCCCCAAGTGCTAGTCTGAAGTCGGGCCTGTCCCCCCTACAGGGGGATTTTCGACGAAAAATAAAAAAATACCCCAAACATATTCAAACACATAATCCAAAGATAATATTTTGGCTGTACTTTCCATTGTTCGTCGGAAATCCCCCTGTAGGGGGACACGCCCGACATAGTGCTACTAGCCCCCCCCCCTGATCGTTGCCCCTCAAACAGTCGGCCCTGTGCACGGAGTCATCTCGATTGTTTGGTCTTGAGTGGCGGTTGTGACAGCCGCGTCTTCTTCGACTCTTCAGAGGTTGTCAGAGCCCCGAATCATCAGGGGTAACTCGGGTCAGGGATAACTCGGGTTCTTTTTCCGGGAATCCAAACCCGAGTTACCCCGGTCCCAAGGTTGGGCGCGTCCCATGGTCGCTTCTGCCTTTAGTGGGCATCCGCGCTTCTGTTCGAGAGTGCGCCCATCCCAGATGACCACCGTCGCACAGCTAGCACAATGGTAGAGGATGATCGGGAGATCGACCACGACGACGTTGACGACGACGACGACGACGACGAGGCGGACGAGATTGACGATGATACGTCGTGGCCCGGGCATGGGAGGGCGACGGGAATGGATGGGCGAAGGACTAGGAGAGAAGGGCACTCCGAATCCGCCTCCGCCATCAACTCCTCCGGCCCCCGCCTCCTCGGGTCCCGCGGGCTCTCCGGTGCAGCATCGTCCATTGGATAACCATCCCCGCTGGGCCATCGCATCTCAGCCTCACCAGCCCCACCACGCAGGTGGTGGGGGAGGGGCCCCGCGGAGCCCGAAGAGAGCAGCACATAGCCCAACCTGGGTCTTGGCATCGCTCGGACGTGTGCACTTTTCCTCCGGCGAGGACCATCGAGGAGCATCCTTGAGCATTTGGCGAAAAAATGCCACGCACGAAACCGAACAGATACACAGGGAATGGACGTCCGAGCGATGGCCAGGGGTGGGTCAGTCAGCCAGTGGGGCCAAGGCCACGCCCGTGGCCACGCCCAGTCATCGGTTACCCGAGGCTCCCGGGTGGGGCCAGCACCCCTCGAGCGGACCCCCCCCCCGCCCCTCAGCGTGGGCGGCGGGAGCGGTTCTGGCGCCGCGCGGCCGGGCGGCGGCCCCAGCCCCCGCCTCCTGCGTCGGCGCCGTCTCCACCGTCTCGGGTTGCCTTCCCCGAGCTCCTGCCTCGTCCTCCTGCCCTGTCTGGTTTGAGGGAGAGAATGATATATATATATATATATATATATATATATATATATATATATATCGCTCCCTCCACAGAACCCCTTCCTTTTTCTCAGAGACATCCTGAGCTCCCAGAATTCGGCGTGCCTTCCTGCTCGTCGTCGTCGTCGTCGTCGTCCTGAGGTCGTCCGTGCCGTCGTCCTCCTCTGAGCCTCGGACACGCCGCTTCCTGTCCGTAGGCTCCGCACCACCTGGTGCCAGACAGGGAACGCCCCTGCTAGTGGAGCCCCAGATCGCCAGGGTCGTTCAGGCCGTCTAGGCTCCCCCGAGCAGGTCCTCTAACGAGGCCTGCGCCAACAGTACCACGGAGGAACCTGCATGCTCTACAGGCCCAGTAGTCTCGCTCTGCTGGCCCGGAGTCGTTCCCAGCCGTCGGTTTCCTTTGTCCTCGCCTCGCCTCCACCGTCTCGCCGCCTCGCCCTCTCCTCCCGCCCCCCCTCCCCCTGCTTCCTTCCCCTTCCCTCCGCCAGCCTCGCCCCCCCTCCCCCTGCGGGCGGCGGGCGGAGGGGGGAGAGGGGGCGGGGCGGCCGCCTCGCTCGGCCCCACCCCGGCCAGGACGAGGTGGAGGCGCCCCGACGCCCCCTGCGCCGCGCGCGGCGCGCGTCTGCGCCGGGCTCTCCTGGCAGAGAGGGGGGGGAGGGGGCGGAGGATCATTCGGTTGGCGAAGAACGGCAGAGCGTAAACTTAACGCAGGAGGAAGTTCGTGGGTGGAGGAGAGGAGGAGGAGGAGGAGGAGGAGGAGGAGGGGGAGGAGGAGGAGGGCTCCTGGTGCCAGGTAACGCTTCCAGGGTGCGGAAGGGTTATCGATTTGCCGGAAGGGGGGGGGGGGGTCTTAAATGTTTCCTGGGGTTATCCGTCGCGGGGAGCGCCTGCCCCAGGGCGACTGGGAAGCTTGTGCTTCGACGTGCTTCCGCGGGGGCGCGAACTCCCCCGCCGCCTTGGGGCAGGCGCCCCCGACGGCGAACAAGTTTATGTCATGCTGCTTGCGGGGCCCTGGCGTCGTCGGATAAACAAATCTCCGTTGAGATGCCACGCGCTTGCGAACGATTGCCCCTGACCCGAACACAGTAACCCTGGTCAAATTTCAAGAACCCCCTTTCCAGCAAACAAAATATCCCAGCACCTGAAAGATGATGTGGCTCTCGCATCAGCTCCGCGCGCATTCGTTTTGAAAAACTTGCAAGAGCTTCACGGATTGGGGGTGGCATTGAAAGCGAACCACATTTTGAAAGCGAGCGCCAAAGCGAGATCCACATTTTGAAAACGAATTTCTTTCAATATGTGAAACCCGTTGAATTCTTCAAAACGAATGCGCGCGACTCAAAGGTGAGAGCTAGATTTTGAAAACAAGCCAAGGGGAGGAAATGTTTTTTTTGCTGTTTGGCGCGGTGCTACAGTTCTCGTTCGGCTAAAATCGACCCATGGAATTTGTTCTTGGGGCGGTGCTAACGGTGACGGGGGGGGGGGTCTTAAACAGTGGATGAGGTCCGGAAGAGCGTCTCCGGCGCCAAAGTTTGGCTTACATTGCGGGAAGAAACCATTTGTTGAAAATGGCCGCTTCAATGAGGCACAGGTAAGCCACACATGCCGCCAGCCGCACTTACCACTTACGCAAAACAAAGCCGCCGCAACATACGTCACAACCATCCGGCGACCAGTTCCGTGATAGTACGGGGAGGACGTTCGTGGTTAATTGGTTAGAAGCCACAAGTCGCAAGGACCCTTAACCAACATAGGGAACAATATAACAAGGAAGCTCAAACCGTCAAATTAGTCTTTAGCAAACTCTTGGCGTTGCCAAGACTTGGGCTTTGGTGGGAAGGTTCTGAGATACCTGGCGGTCTTGGTAGCGAATCCGTGGATCCAGTCGGGGTGAACGCCGGAAGCCGACCACACACGTGGCATCCAAGGCCATGACGGGACTGAATCATATTCTCGGTGCGCGTTGACCTTCCCAAGTGTGCTCGCCACATATGTAACGCTCTGGCAACCATTCAGCAGGAATGGCTGCCCTGCCCTGCATTCTAGACGCACGCAGTGCAGCTTCCCGTTCTTGCCACATAGAGTGGGCCCGAACCTCCCACGAAACACATGGGGGCGGACGAATTCCTGAAACAATTATCACCATTCGTGTCAGCAGTCGCGTTATTCAGTCTTGAGGCCAGAGCGCGATTTGGGAGCTGAGTGCGTTCCGTATGGGTTGGGGGCTGTTGTTGCTGCGACGGTTCATTGTTGACCACTGACTCCCTACGCACAGGCACCGGTAAAGCCTCACGGCGAGATCTTCCCATTTTGCGAAGCTTAATGGGAGACCTGGATTGCGTGCACGCTCTCCTTCGCTTGAGCTGTTCGTCGAGATGAGAGCAATGCTTGGCACGACTGGCCTTTGGAGACACCTGCACGCTCCCTACGAATAGTTCGAAATATTCCATCCGCTTATTACAGAGTGCAGAACGATCTCTCGCTCGAGAGTGAAGCTTCAGATCATGAAACCCCGAGGTGGTCTCAAATGTAGCCTCTCCCTGTCTTGGCGCCTGTGAACCGAGGCATGTGGGAGAGGAATTCGCTTACTGAAACTTTGATGGGCTGTTCAATCCTGGATGTCAGCCGCACTGGTTTGCCGCTGCTCGCTCTGCAAAGGGCTCGGTGGCCTCCTCAAAGCATTCGGCATTGTGAGTGGCACTGGGAGATCAGAGCCCTGAATGCCAGATCTCCACGGCCTAGCGCTTTGCTGAAGAGGCAGACCAGGTTGCGCAGCACGAACAGAAAAACATGCATGCCAGCCCGCATGATGCCTGGCTCAGGACACCCAATCCTTAGCAACATCCTGCTACCAGTGTCCACAACAAAGTCAAGTTCAAGCATGAGTTGCGCAGGCGGCCCCGATCCATCCCCAAAACCTCTGGGAGAGGGAAGAAGAACCCTAAATAGGCCTACGTAAGTTGTTAATGAACAGGTCAGTACAGTAAAGTTTTGCTATCTGCTGGAGAACGTGTCCGGTTCGCAGCCCCTGTCGAGACGAAGGAGTTTGAAACCACCGAGACTCCCGCCGCGGAAGCACCACGAAAACGTCAGGAGCTGGGGCTAAGATATCGGCTGGATGTCTTCGCTCATGGCCTGGCTCAGGGGGAGTCGGACGAGGCCGGGACGAGGATGACTCCGTTCCAGAGCGTTCCCCGGAGCGCTGCCCGAGCGTTCCAGAACGCCTTGAGGGGACCGCGGCGCCCGAGACATCCTCCAGAGCCGCCGGATCTCCGAGATTCCCGAAGCATCCTCAGTACAGTCGGGGCGTTGACCTAAGGCACCCCAAATAAGGAACGAGGCCCCTTTCTCCCACAAGTTGAACTTTAATTTTCCATCGAAATCCTCCGGAAAACATAAGGCAAGTTGCGGAACAGTTAAGGAACACGGAGCCTTTCCCCATCGAAAAGGGTTCCTTCTTCAGCGCCCTGACTGTAGAGGACTCCTAGATGGGGTCGAAGTAGATGGAGTCGGAGGATCTGGCAGCATCGCCGATGCATCCGCGATGCACCGGCGACGTCGGCGGTGCATCGGCCACGTCGTCGCGGAGAACATCTGGCCCCACATCGAGCCGCATCGCCGAGTTCATCGGCGATGCGGCGCGAGCCTCCGACCCCATCTACTACTCCGACCCCATCTAAGATTAAGTCGGGCCTGTCGCTCTACAGGAGGCATGTTCAAAGATAGTAACAAAATAGTCTGGGGACGATTTTTTTATAAAAAAAAGAAAAAACTATTTTCTATCATTTTGGGGCATTTTCGTTGTATGTTTCATTTGTCGTCCAAAATCCCCCTGTAGGGGGACATGCCCGACCTGAATCTAGGGGGCTTGGACTCGTCCCTCATGGCCGTCCTCCTGGCCAGGCCCCCCCGCTCATCCTGGCGGGGCCATGCAGCGGCTCTCCTCTCCCTCCTCAGCTCCTCCTCCTCCTCCTCCTCCTCCTCCTCCTCCTCCTCCTCCTCCTCCTCCTCCTCGTCCGTCTCCTCCTCCTCGTTCTCCTCCTCCTCCGCCTCCTTCTCCTCGTCCTCCTCCTCCGCCTCCTCCTCCTCCTCCTCCTCCTCCTCCTCCTCCTCCTCCTCCTCCTCCTCCTCCTCCTCCTCCTCCCTCCTCCTCCTCGCCCTGGGCCAGGGCCCCTGGCCTCGCCCGAGGAAGAGCCGCCGCCTCCAGCGGCCCGAGACTCTCGGGGGGCCGCCTGCTGCCGGCCTGCTCGGCCCGCGGGCTGCGCCTCCCCACGCTGCCCCGCGAGCCTGCGGGGGGCACCGTTTGTGACAACGAATCCTCAGACAGCGACCAGCCATGTCGATCAATATGCCATAGCAGAAAGTAGGAAAAAAGGAGTTATCAAAAAAAAGTAGAACATAGTAGGTTTAAGTAGGAAGAAGTAGTTTCAAAGTGTTCCAAAATAGGGAAAGGTCGTTTCAAAGTAGTTTCAAAGAGGGGCACCAAGCCCCCCTGCGGGGCCCGACTGCTGCGGGTGCAGAACTGGCCTCAGCGAGCGCAGAAGCTAGGGGAACAAAAGGTGGCATAAACACATTAACTCGGAGGTCCGCGCGGATTTCTCGGATCGGCGCTGGGGCCCCCCAGAGGCGCCTCCGGCGCCGCCCCTGGCGCGCTCTGAGGGCCAGGGAGGGGGGGGCCAGCGCCGATCCGAGAAATCCGCGCGGACCTCCGAATTTTAATGTTTATGCCATTTTCCGTTCCCCTAGGAAGCACTTCTTCTGTGTCCAGGCTTCCTACAGTTCAGTCGGGCCTGCCCCTCTGCAGGGGGAAAGCGCAAACACGGTCCACACGTTTGAGCGTGTGTCGGATCTGTCTGAGCAGGTTGGGGTGTTTGTGCTTTTCGTCCACAATCCCCCTGCAGGGGGGCATGCCCGACCGAGTGCTACGGTCGAGCGCCTGATGCCGCAGCGTCCTCGCGAAGTGCCGGGCCAGCGCTCTGTTTCGCGAGCGCTGCTGGGAGGCGGGCCCGGCTTCTGGAGCGTGGTCGCCTCTCTGGCGCCAGCAGCAGGCATTAGCTATCCCAGGCCTGCTGGTCACCACCCACCAAACCACCCCAACCCAACCCGAAGGTCCAAATTTATCCTCGATTTCCAGTAGGGGGGGGTCGGGGAACACCGAAAAAACACGTGGAACCCGTACCCCCCCCCAACCCGAAATTCGGGTCCAATTCGGGTCTTCGGGTTGGGTTGGGGTGGTTTGGTAGGTGGTCAGCTGGGCCCAGATGTTTAAAGTTATTTTGCGTGATAAGTTTCTGGTAAGCCCAGACGAAGTGATAAGTCTAAGTTGCAAGCTCGTGTGAGTTAAACTGATGTTTCGGTGATTTTGAGACCAGGCTTCCGGGAAGCTTGCCCAGATTATGTCAGCCATAAGTCGCTTGACCATTTGTTCGGATACAGAAGGGGTCGCAGTAGATGGGGCCGGAGGATCGTGCCGCATCGCCGATGCATCGCCGGCTTGGTTCGATGTGGAGCCCGATTTGTTGCACGTCGGCATCGCGGATGCATCGCCGACGTCGACGATGCACCGCCAGTGCTTCTCCGATGCG